TGGCCACACCTCCACCCCCTGACCACACCTCCAACCCCTGGCCACACCTCCACCCCTCACCTCTGCTACGGGCAAATTCTCTCTTCTCTTCTTCTAAATCTTCATGAGAGACACAGAGAGTCCTTTGACGTCAGACCCAAATGTGAATTCCCGTCCCATTACTTACTAGCTCTATATGACAGTGGCATGGTAACTCAAAGTCCCTGTCTTTGTTCCTTTCTTCCATTATAAAGGAGCACTGTCACTCCCAGAATCATGACCCTGAGGTCCGCAGAGCTGTGTGTGGCTGTGGCGCCGGTCCGTCACCCTCTCTTCCTCCCTGGATCTCTCTCAGATACTTCCTTTCTTCCTTTTTTTTTTTTTTGTTGTTGTCTGTTTGTTTGTTTTGTTTTTGGACTAGGGACTGAACCCAGAAACTTTGTACCTCTGAGTTACAGCCCCAGCTAAGTTGTGGAGGCTGGACTTGAACTTTCGAATCTTCTGCCGCAGCCTCCCAAGTAGCAGGGGTGAGAGCTGGGCAGCAGGGGCCTGGCCCATCGTCCTTCTCACGTCCCAGATGTGGGCCTGCTTCATTCTGGTTTTCTTCTACCGAGTGGTGCACAGTCTATAAAGGGGGAGGACTGTTTTTCTCTTTCATCTTATCCTTGTTGCTGCCCACAGGATGCAGGGCAGGGTTTGCACACAGTAGGTCAACGAACACTTATAATTCAACAACCTGGGTGGCAGCCTGAGTCACTTAGCTAGAAGATTCGCCAAGATCCAGTTCATGTCAAGAATCAGTTAAGATCTGGGAGCAGGGTGCCCTCCTGTAATCCCAGCAGCTGGGAGGCTGAGGAAAGAGGACCACGTTCCAGGCTAGCCTCAGCAACTTAGCAAAACCCTGTTTCAAAATAAAACGAGGCTGGATTTGTGGCTTAGTGGTAGAGTATTCCTGGATTCAATCCTCAGTAAAAAAAAAAAAAAAAAAAAAAAAAAAAAAAATCAATTAAGGATGGGATAGTCCTAAAGCCCTCTAAAAAGTTTACTTTAAAAGCAATATTAAAAACCAAGAAGTCAATCATTTTTAAGAACACTTAAAGCAGATTTTAAAGTTTACATAAGAAATACTTGCTTTAAGTTTTCAACTATTTAATATCTTGTCTTTCTCTCATTAGGATATAATTAAGCTTATTTTCCTTACTCATAGAGAAAAATACACACACTTATTTATATTTATCATATTTTTGAAAAAAGATTTAAAAAATTAATCACCAAAATAATTCTTAGGGACAGAAATTGTTCTGAAATTGATTTTCAAAGTTATTTCCTTCACCTGAGACCTGGTTTCTAGTCTCAGGTGGTAGCTGGGGCGGGGGGGGGGGGGAATTGGCCTCTTTCCTCACCCAAGTCCAACTTCTGCAACAAAGTTCAGGAAGACAGAATGCAGACGGTCCCTCTCTACCTGAGCAATGAGGTCACCTGCAGGTGTGAGACGCTATCCTAGCATCAGCTGTCTCCAGGGAAACTCTTTACTGGGGTTTCCAACAAGGTAATATTTTGCTCTTATTAAAATTACTAGATAAAAGTACAGGGCACCTACTTAAATTTGAATTCAAGATAAACTATGAATTATTTTTTAGAATGAGGATGTTGTATGCAATCCTAGGTGGAATACATACTAAATCACGAGCCAGGCTCTATTTGGGACAAATACTAACATATTACTCATTGTTAGCCTGAAGTTAAGATGCCGCTGGGAGTCCTGGGTTCCCATTTGTTAAGTCTGGGAGGCCTCAACACCCCGTTTTACAGATAACAAATGGAAGACCATGGCTCTCCCAGGTCACTGGTGCCACCCTTGGACCCTTGTTGGTTCTTACTCTGCTGGCCTCACGCACACGCAGAGCACGCGTCCTAGGAGCTGAGCAAGTCTGAACAGTACACCTGTCCCTGTTACATCCCGGCCTTCAGGAGGTCCAGCTGCRAAGCCAGGGGCATGACTGTGCTGCCAAACCCTATTGCTTGGCAGCCCTGGGTCACTGAGGCCAAACCGGGAGGCTCTCCAGCTGCAAACAGTCCTCTCACCCCATCTGGCTCTTGGTGTGAAGGCCAAGGAGAGTGCAGAGATGGCCCTGGAGGAGGTCCCAGGGCTCAGGTGACAGCCACCCTCCAGACAGGGGCCCAGTGAGAGGCAGCGGCAGGGAAGGAGGGGCTGGGGCAGGGGCAGGGGGAGGACCAGCCTTGCTCTCTGCAGCCAGAGGAACAGGATCGGAAAGCGTGGAGGATTTCTCTCTGGTCTGTGCCTTCCACACAGGGACCTGGGGGGCCTGGGACCACAGCTAGCACCGCACACCTGCCCCCACACTCCCCCAGGCCAGTGCACACCCTGTCGGTCTCTCGTTCCCTGCCACCTGCTCCAGTTGCTCCTGCTTCACTATCTCCACCCACTCTGTCCTCACCAGGGTCCTCCTAATGCCTCATCCCCACCCCCTGGGGACAGAGCAGATCAGAGCCGCGCCCCTCCCTCTGCCACCTGGACTTCCCAGGCAGCCCTGTGGCGTGACCAGCCCAGAAACAGACAAGAAAGGGAATGGGAGCTGCGACTCTGGCGCACCTAGTGGCCTCATTCTAAGCTCCAAGAGGAGGTTCACGTGTTCCTCTGCTGACAGCCGGGCTGTCTGGAGTCTTTTACGACGGGGCCATATAATTATATTTCTGGTGAAGAGAAAAAACAATGGAAACCTCTTGGTAAAAGAAGGAGGGAAATGACACTCTCCCAGCAGTGAGACCTGGGTCCTGTTGCAGGGTCAGTGGCCTGTGCAGGTGACTGTCGAACTGGGTCTTTCACTGGAGCCCACCCGCCACTGGCCCCTCGCTGGGTCACCTGATCTCCTCACTGGCTTGTCTGCTTCTGCCTTCCCAATTCCAGTCTGTCCCCCGGTCAGTCAGATTGATGCTTCAAAATAGAAATTGGGTGTGTGTCTGTTTTAGAATATTCTGGGGGCTTCTTGTTGTCTTTACAGCAGAGTCATAAACCACCGCCACCGCGCTGGCCCGACAGCCTCTGCAGTACTCTCTCTGGGTCTTCTCTGTCTCCATCCCACCCCCGCCCTTCAGTGGTCCCACAACCTGTGGATGATAAAATGACCCTGCACAGGACGGCTTGAAAAGTTGGCTGTGTATTGATCACCTACTATGCTCTGGGCACCCTGCACACAGGGTCACGTTTCATACTCAGCGTCTCTAAAAGCATTTGCCACCCCTGTTAAGCCAAAGCCTCATGCCTGGTGAGTGGCACTGCAGGTTTGGAGCCAACTCCCTGAGCCGACAGCCTGCAGCCATCCCTGACAGGCACGTCTCTGTCCCCTTGCCACGCTGCTTTGTGGTTGCTGAGCTGTCGTCCCTAGGCAGGGATCCCCAGGACAGCAGAGTCTGATCTGGGGACCTGGGTCCTCCAGCCCTCTCATGGTGCTCACACATGCTAGGCAACCACATGGTGCTGGTAGGAAATACCAACGTGCCAGGTGCTTGGTGGGCACTGGGGTTCCACTCGGGTCAGGAAGAACCCAACAATAAAGTTCTTGCCTTGTGGAGCCTGTGGTCGTAATGGGGGAGATGATCTCGTGCTGTAATCATAAGTGCTGGGCTGGGAGGGTCCTGGGGAACATGCAGTTGGTGGGCATGCATGCTGGCTTAGGCAGGAGGAATGTCCTGTGAGCCCCATGGCACTCATCAGGTGTGAGTGGCACCAGCGTCTCTGCTCTGTCCACTGACTCCCATGTGCTGATCAGGGAGTGGATGGGTCCTGTCCCTCCTGGTTCTCAGAAATCCCTGCAGCATCAGAGCCTCTTCCCTGCCGCGGGGACAGTGGGATCCTGGCTGGCGGCCCTGCCGGTCTGTACGTGACTATTCCCTGGCTTGCCTGTGGGCATCCACTGAGGCCGCTGCCAGTGGGACAGCTGGACAGAGCAGGGCATGCTCTCTACTCCTGGAAAGAGGCAGCCGCCGACCATCCGCTTCTACAAAAGGAAGTGAGCATTCTCTCTGGTTTCTAAGGATACGGATCATGGTGACTTGGGAGCTTCCTGTCTGTAGTGCTCTGTGTGCCCGCCACGTGACTGCCACGCCTGGGACTAGGACACTGTAGCACTGTGAAGTTAGCTTGACCACAGTCCCACCGTGCCCCTCCTTGGCCTCTAGACTGAGACCTTGGAGAGGCCAGCCTCCAGGAGAAAGGGCAGCCCAGGTCCCACCACTTGCCTTTGTGTGCATGGGGGGTGGGGTGGTGAGGGAGGCCTCTGCCAAATGGGTGATAAAAAAACAATTTGGGGGACTGTGTGACCATGCACATTGAAGTGTTTCTGGACAACATGCACCACAGGGGCTTTCCTTGAGGCTACCAGGTTGGAAACTCATCACTTAGAGGCATGTTAAGGAGTATGCTCAAACTGGTCATTATCACCTGGAAGAGGAAGTCTTACATTTTCACAGTCTCCATTAAAGGCACATTATCAGCTTTATCAAAGCCTTGAGGATGACCACCGGGATTCACCCCTGCCTTCTGGGGCTGGAGCTGCTTCTGTGCCCACAGCCCCCTCTTATCCCGGGTGCCCACAGACATCGCCATAGTAGAGGAAACATGGTCACTTGTTGTCCTTTGGTAGAGTCTGTAAGTGTGCTCCTTGGTCATTGTCCAGGAGGTTCAGAATTCCTGCATCGGCTCACGCTGCCTTTGCTGTTGGTGCTGTGGCTTCAGTCTGTGTCATTTATTTTATTTTCTCCCAAGGCGTGTAAGGGCGGACGTCGCTGGCTGTCCCAGAGCTTCCCCTGTTCCCTGGAGCTGGAGGTCCCTCATGCTTCCTTCTAAACCCTCCTAAGGACTGGGTCTAGGCTGAGAGGATCCCGGACTTGATGCCTAAAAGTTCTTCCTTTCCCAGTGGGGAGGGCAGAGCCTGGCCAGAGGGACCCACCAGAGATCACAGGATGGCAAATAAGTGTCCTGTCACTGTGGTTTGTTCCAGAGCTGGTGATGTTGCTGGAGTGGTGGTCGGGCACAGAGTGCACCATCTACACGGACCCGAGGGCCTTCTCCAAATATGGCACGGAGAACGCCATCGTCGTCCTCAACCACAAATTTGAAATCGACTTCCTCTGCGGCTGGAGCCTGGCGGAGCGCTTCGGGATCTTAGGGGTAAGCGGGGCGCGGCTGCCTGCTCGTGCGTTTCTCTGCCTCTTTGCTCTCCTCCAGAGTTTGCCAAAGAATCCGTAGAGTTTTTGCCGGATGAAATGTTCTTTAAAAGCTGCTTTTCATTCTTGCTGGGATCAGGATTAACATCTTATGAGCAATAAGGGGGGATCCTCATCCTTGCTGTAGGCCAGGCAGTTAATAGTTCATTCCATCTTTATAGAAGCAGAGTAGGTGATATGCCAGTGGGTGACATATGCCACCCTCCCTTTTTAAGTTAGAGAGAGCTTAAATATTCTGCTCAGGGTCACACAGCTATAATTGGATTTGGATTTGAACTTGTCCAGTTTGACTCCCGTCCACATTCTTAATTACCCTTCCTGCCTGCCTGTGTGGCTCATGGAATTCATCTCTGAATTTCCATCATCGCGGGCTTAAGAACGTTGAGCTCCCAAGTGAGCAAGTTTGAATGGCACAATTCCAAAATATTATTAAATTCTGTTTTTCTCGATTTGGTTTGATTTCTTCTTGCATGCAGCTCACATACCTTTGGAACTGGGTCTCCCCCATTGACCTTTGTCATCTTTAATGCACGAAGGTGGGTCATGGTTAAGCAGGTGTCACATCCCTGAATCTCCAGCAGCACTGGAGAGTCGCAGTGGGAAGCGCAGCGTCCATCCGTCCGTGAGCCTGGGCTGGAAGGGCTCTGCGCACCTCGGCCTGGAGGCCAGGGCTTTGCACCTGGGAACCATGCCCTGCAGACAGCGGGGACTGTGCATGTCACCCTTGTTCTTGGCAGCCCATGGAGACCCCGGAGGACAGGGGACTGGAGGAGTTTGTGAGGCTGGGTTATCTGGGAAGGGGAGGGAGCCTCCTGCTGAGAGCTTCTCTTTCATTTTCCTATTTGCTTCTTTGGTGTGTGTGTGTGTGTGTGTGTGTGTGTGTGTGTGTGTGTGTGTGTGTTTTCAAAACAAAAGCAACAATTCTGGCACAGTTTCCCCCTTTATCTTTGGGGGATAAGTTCCAAGCCATTTTGAGGTTGCCCTACTTTGTTCAGATTCTTCTGAACCCCAGTGTGTACAGTTTTTCTTATAAATACAAACCTAGGATAGACTTTAATTTATAAATTATTCACAGTAAGAAATTAACAATTGCTACTAATAAAACTGAATAATTATAATAATATACTATAACAAAAGTTATTTGAAATTGCTGAGTTGTTTATTTCTGGAATTTTCCACCGTTGACTCTGGGTAACTGAGGCTGTAGAAAGTGGATCATGGCTAAGGGGAGCCACTGCCCCACCCTCTTCTGCCTCAGAGCTCCTGGCCTGGGGTCTTGGTTACCTTTCTGTGATTTGCATTCTCTCTGAGGCAAGAGCACCCTGAACATGTCATAGTCCCTGACCTGGTTTGTCGTGGAGACCCCTGGTCGGAGATGGACCCTTCCTGTGTTTGGGAGGGGGCACATGGGGATGGCTCTCAGAACCTGCTTCCTGATGTGCAACACGCCCTGGAGCCAGTGCTCACAGGTCGTCTAGGCAGTGGTACCCCAGGCTTTCCAGTGGCTTTGGCATTCCTGCTCAGAACCGTAAAGACGCCTGCAGTCTGCGGCAGGGGTGCCTGGGCCAGAGCAGAAGGCCTCCTGGGCTCCGTGCGCGCTCCATGCCCTTCCTCTGTGCCGTGTCCAACCTTGTACATCATCAGTCCCACTCCATAAATGAACTCCCAGAGCCCCGACCTTGCCCAAGGGCAGCAGCTAGTGAGCCATGTCCAGAGTCCTGCTCCTCCCCAGGAGGTGTAGAGGGAAAGCCGGGCCCCAGGGCCTGAGACCTGCTTCAGAGATGTTAAACAACAGGCCAGCAGCGGGGGACCAGGCTCCTAGCACCACCCTAGCTTGGGGTGCACCAGGGCTCAGTCCAAGGGCTGGGAGTCATCAAGCCCGCACCAGGGGCTGGGGATGTGGCTCAAGCGGTAGCGCGCTCGCCTGGCATGCGTGCAGCCCGGGTTCGATCCTCAGCACCACATACAAACGAAGATGTTGTGTCGCCAAAAACTAAAAAATAAATAAATATTAAAATTATCTCTCTCTCTCAAAAAAAATTAAATAAAATATTTAAAAAAAAAAAAGCCCTCACCAGGTGGGACATGGAGCCATGGGAGCGAAGAGCTCAGGAAACAGATGGCTTAGGGCCCCCGGCCAGCACAGTGAGTGCAAGTTGAACCCCACGGTGCATATGGGGAGGTGGCCCAGGGAGAGGGACCCAGGCCAGGGAGGGATCCAGGGGAGGGGAGGGGACCCAGGAGAGGGGAGGGGACCCAGGGGCAGAGAGGGATCCAGGGGAGGGGAGGGGACCCAGGGGCAGAGAGGGACCCAGGAGAGGGGAGGGGACCCAGGAGAGGGGAGGGGACCCAGGAGAGGGGAGGGGACCCAGGAGAGGGGAGGGGACCCAGGAGAGGGGAGGGGACCCAGGGGCAGAGAGGGATCCAGGAGAGGGGAGGGGACCCAGGGGCAGAGAGGGACCCAGGAGAGAGACCCAGGAAAGGGGAAAGGGACCCAGAGGTAGAGAGGGGCCCAGGAGAGGGGAAGGAGGCCCAGGGCAGAGGAGGCCTGGGCTGGGAAGGGACTCTGGCCCAGAGAGGGAGGCAGCCTCCCAGAGCAGACTCCCTCTCAACCCTTGTTGGCACTTTTCTCTGAGAAGCTCTAAGATCTGGAGGCTCTCCCTCCTCCGTGCAGGGCCCGCCCACCCGCCTGTGCCCAGGGCGCTCCTCTTCCTCACTCTCCATTCCTTAAGCGAATACCAGATTTAGAGGATTTCCTCAAACACTATTAAACCACATAGCTAATGTGGGTAAAAGGGGTGGAGGGTCGCCAGATGTAGGTGACTGGTTTTAGGAGGTAGAGGGTTTGGGGAGACGTACCTGGAGGTGAGGGGGCGGGTCTCAAAGCCTGGCCCAGGCACCCTCTGACCTCACTGGATGCTCATCRGGGCCTCAGGTTTCATGGCTTCTCACTAAAGAGCCCCTGAGTTTCTTTAGAATTGGGAGGAGAGCGAGAGGAAGTGAATCCCATTTTCTTGAAACACCAGAGAAACGGCATGTGCTGTAGCCCCAGTGGGCCAAGTGTTGGTGGAGAGTAGGCCCTGGGGCGGGGGGGAGGCAGAGGGGATGTGGAGGCCAAGAGGATGGGGACCAGGGACCTCGTGGGGAGCTGGTGGAAGGTGCCAGGAGCCCCCCTCCAAACGTAGTAAAAAGCAGCTTTGTCACCGGGCAGAGGAGCTGTGGCCCGGTACAACCCACAGTGCTGGAGGAGAGGCCTGGCCTCTTCCCAGAATCCTCCTACCTTGGACAGGCCAGCATCTGGTACTGGTCTGCAGAATCTTTTGTCTTCAGTGACCTTGAAGACGAACCCCTCATTCATCCCTCTCTTGTGGATAACTTGAGCTGTGGAGAGCCCTCTGGAGCCTGAGCTGCAGAGACCCCTCTGGACTCTGAGCTGAGCTGTGAAGATCGATCTGGAGATGCCTCTGGAGTCTGAGCTAAGGAGATCATTCTGGAAATGCCTCTGGGGTCTGAGCTGAGAGACCCCTCTGGAGCCTGAGCTGTGGAGACCCCTCTGGAGCCTGAACTATGGAGATCCCTCTGGAGCCTGAGCAGATTGCTTTTTAAAAAAGGAAGAAAGCGTTTTCCTGACCAGGCATTTTTCATCCTCACCTGTGGAACGGTCCGTGAGGAAATGAGTTTAAATCCAACTAAAATGAAATCTGCAGAACTCTTGAACAAGGGGTTATTAGGTTTGTTTTGAGGGGAGAGTAATGGAATTCTCCTGAACAGAAGCCTCCAACCTCTGAAAACATCCTAAGGCCCCACTAGTATGGCCAGTGGTGAGTCCACCAGCCTGACCCAGAGACTCGGCTGCTGTTCTGGCCAGGTCCCCAAAGCCTTGTCATGGGATCTCAGATGCCCACTGGCTCCTTCTTCCCTGGGAAGAGAATGACCTGGGGACAGCTGAGGGTGCTTGCCACCACAGAGCCGGGAAAACTGGCGTGTCAGGCAAAGGCTTGAGGYTTCAGCTCCGTTTGCTTATCTCTCCCTTTGGTAAAACCTGCACATGTCATGGTCCAGACTGTCCCCCTCTGGGCAGTGCCAGCCCTGCACTCCACAGGTGTAGCTGTTGCTGTCTTCAGTATTCACCTGCTGGGGACGTGTGGCTGGGAGGTTCACTCCAGGGCCACCTGGGACATCTTTAAGGATAAAGAAGCCGTGTGCCTGAGTTATCCACGGCAGCAGGAGGAGCCTCAAACTGAGCAGCTTACGTCCCCAGGCACAGGGACAATGGCCTTTGCTCATGTGATCAGGATCCAGGCACAGCTCAGCAAGGGCCACTCAGAAGGCCACAGTCAAGCTGTGGGGGGAGGTGGTCTCACCCAGGGCCTCCAGTGTCTGTTGCCCACCTCCAGTCTCATGGCAGGTCACTGCTGACCCTGCCATGTGGGCCTTGGCATGGACATGGCCACCATCCCCCCCAGAGCCAGCACTCAGGACAGAAGCCAGGGCACTTTTGTAGCTGGAATTAGAAGGGACACCCCTCACTTCTATGTCTGCCGTTGGTTAGAAGAGGACGAGTGTGCCCAGCCAGCACTCAGGGGCGTGAGGCTGGGAAGTCACCGGGGCCAGCCCCACATCTCAGACCTCCATTTTCTGCTTAGCAACTCCGATCCAGGGTGAACGAGGCAGTTCAGTCCAAAAACAGATTGAAACTTTGTTGTATTTCTTGTGTAAAAAAGAGAGAGGAGTGCAGAATTACTATTCCTGAGTAGAAGGGACATCCAAGTCCCTCACAAAGCTGGGTCCTGCCTTTTAAATAAGATTCTTTTTTTTTTTTAAATTAATTTTCTTTTTTTTTTTTAATTTATTTTTTAGTTTTGAGTGGACACAATATCTTTATTTTATTTTTTTTTATGTGGTGCTGAGGATCGAACCCAGGGCCCTATGCATGCCAGGTGA